AAAAAACACTTTATAATATATTCTATCATTCAATCTTGTTAACCTCAATCAAGTACAAAGGTATCTGGATTTTACTTAAAGTTTACAAAGGTGTTCCCACTACCCCAATTAGTCTAAATTAGTAGAGCTGGCAAAGAAATCTGAATTAATCATCAGTCAATAAAATTCACAAAGCCAGAAGCAGTTTAGTGCTCACAAGTTTATATTTTTAGGTTTGATATTGTTGTGTATTTTGTAAATACACAGACAAAACAGTTTCGGAAGTTTACATACATGTCTTAGGACACTTATATTAGGTAGGTAATTTACATAAAAAAAAATTGGTCTTCGTAAAAGATCTTCCCAAAGAGCTTTTACAAACAGCAGGCAGAAGAAAGTGTTCTTTATGTTTACAGTGTTTAAAATGCTGATTCTCCCATTTCATAATGGCCTCAACCATCCCTCTCTACAACCAAAAATTTTGTTCTCATTAGCTAGTGTACTCCAAATTTAAGTACCCAATGTCATAAAATTCAGGGCTAGAAAACATCTTTTAAAGTGTGCTTATCCCTAACACATCTTTAAACTACCTAGAATTGCTCAATTTCACTTGAAAGCAGGGATACAGCAGGAAAACAACCTTCCATTTGAAATGCTAAAGTGACTAAGAAACACCTGTTTTGTTAGTTCTAAACAAGTATATTATGTACCATAGTTAAGTTTAAGGATCTGGGTGACTGAACGGCACAAAAACTAGGGTTTATTACATCTAGTCCTTCCGATGAAAAACCACCCTTTTAAAAATTAAAATGCCACAGCTGATTAATAGCATATGCTACACTGAGGTTGTGTCTTCTTAAAGTCAAAGTGACAGAACAATCTTTTTATCAGGAGGAAAAGGTAGTAAGGATATTTGTTGGGGGAAGGACACAAAATTCCTAACATAGCTGCTTTATAGGAAAAATATAAATCTCCATAGACTCCGTTAAAGAGCTGAAATTCTACAAAAGAGCTGTTTAATGAGGCAGCAACAGAGTCTCCTAGGAAGAGCATGGGCTTCAGAATCAGACCTGTTCAAACCCCAGCACGATTATGACTGCATTAGCCACGTTTCTGAATTTTTCTGAGCATTTCTTCATCTATAAAATGGAGACAATTAGCACCTGCCTTACAGAGTAGATAAAATGTATACATACAGCATAACAGCAAGTGTGGGCACTCAAATTTGGAAGCTTTTAGAATCATTTTTCAGAACAATGAATTTTAAACCTTCATGCTATGTTCAGAAAATCCTAAAAATATAAGGCTCACTGAAGTTTCAAAAATTTAAGATTTTTAAAAACCTATTTTCCTTCACACTTTCCCTCATATTATACTACTCCAGTCATCTCCAGAAGGTTTACACTATATTAGGTTAATTTCCAAATCCTAATCCTTTCATTTCCTATTTTCTCCCTCCTTTCCCCCTTTTTTCATTTATCCTTTTCCTCTTGGTTCTCATGTGTAAACTAAGATGTATATGCACCTATTATGTACCAGTGTTCTAAGCACTTTACAGGAGTTAACTCATTCAAGCTCACTCTTCTCCATCAGGATGGCCCTGCCTAAACTAGCTAGTGTTCCCCCCGCCCCCATTTCAAAGCTACTCATTACCTCATTACTGTTCCTTTTCCCTTCCTGAAATGTTTTGTTAAGCTCTCAATTGCTAGCGTGCTAAAATTTAGCAAAACATCTAGTAAATAAAAAAAGTGAGTGCCAAGAACTATGACAAAGAGGGGACCATATGGAAGTAACTAAGAAATAATACATGATCTTGATTTGAGAGGGTCTGTTACTACATAGGGAATATGAAATAGCTCATGCTCTTCCCCTTCATTAAAATTAGTTCTAAAATATTTTTTTCATTCAAAATATAAATTACAAGAGAAAACTTCACCAAATATGTAACATAATTCTGCCAAAGTTCTATAGACAAAATTGAGTCTTCCATTACTACCTCTGAGACCAACCATAAGTTCTTAGTATCTATCAACTTCCTGAAATTTTAAGTCAGAAAAAGAATATACTTAAAAAAATAGAAATGTCCAGTAGTATACCTAAGTACTAAAACTATTTTTTAAAAAGATCTAGACGGGAAAAGGAAGCCCCTCAAGATCATGAAACAAAATAAGTTAGGCAGTCAGCAAGTAGAAAAATCTGTCAATTCTGTTTCTGGTAAAATGTTTACTTCAAAGAAATTTTTATATAGGCTGAGGCTAACATATTCAAGAGTATAAACATTTTTCCTTTGGATTACCTAAAAACAAACTTTTAAAGTATTATATTTCAATTGACTAAAAATATAGCCAAATCTGTCACAACACAACATAGAAGGTAATGGACAATTATAGAATATTTTAAATTAACAGTAACAAGTCATCTACATCAAACCTTGTTTCCAACTAAAACCAAAACAAAAGCACAACAATCCTGTAGTGTACCAAGTATGTATTTCAATTTACTGTATGCAATCTAACAAAAATTTGGTCATAATTTACCAGATATACATAAATGATTTAAGTAGTAAAAGAAAATTCAGTTTCAAGAGAATAAATTCATATTTTGAGGAAAAGTAAAAGTACATTAAGAATGTAAAGCCAAGTCCAGTTTCTATGCAATAAGTGAACTGTCTAATAAAGCAGATTTAGGTGAATTTTTTAGATATATATCTTTGCTCTTTAATATATATTTATATATAGACAGATCTACCAATTGTAAACTATTTTAAAGGAAGGGAATAAATGGGATGAAAGAAATCTTTATACTATACTTACATATTCACAAAGAACATTTTACGTTTAAAATACTTTGCATTCATAGTACTTTTGCCCGACTAATTTCTACTTTGGACCTCACCAGAAATACATTTTACTTATTTGTCTAGAACATTAAGATACTTTTCAGTTTTAAATCAAACCAAAACTATTCATCTTTCAGGTTTACAGTTATGTAGAAACTACAATAAAATACAGGTGACAAAAGATGCATCTATCCATGTAACTGTAATTTATCTTTGATTTATCCAAGCAGAAACATCATTGGCTAACATTAAACCATTATTCTACTGAAATCAGAGACAATGATAAAGCTTGCTCTGAAAAAAAACATATCAACTTTTCAACTTTGATCAGATGGAGCACCAAAAGGATTATCTGTCAAAGCATCTTTGCATTTTTTCCACACAACTAGCATAATTTAGTTACCTGATATAAAATAGGAAAATATACTCACTTTATTTAAAAGAAAGCTGAAAATATGTCCCTCAATCTTATAGAATATACACTATACTTGTGATAAACTGTGATACATGTCAAAAATGTGAAATTTTGCTGAGAGTTCCACAATCAGCTAATTCATTTGTCACCAGGCTAAATAAATCTGACAATTTCAACTTAAGGATCACCCTTTGTACCCTGAAGAATTTAGTTAAGAGAATAAAGCCTCTCAATTATTTTATTTGTAAGATTTTTGCAGATAATTAAATCAAGGTGACTACTACAAAGATTGTAGGGGTGTAGTGACTTTAAATAGGAAAATAAATTAACTTAATTATCAATCGTAATTTTATAACACTCAATATCCCGGTAAGTATGAAACAAAAGAGAATTCATGTTTTGTGTTAATTTTAATGGTAAAAAGGGCACAGGAATAAAAACCTGATATTTCACTTCTATTGCATAACAAGCTAACCAAACTGGACATGGGGGATAAATTATAAAACAAATCATTTTACTTATTATTTTTATGACTTTCGATTAGGTCTTTCAAATAGGACTGAGGTATAGTACACTGGCAAAAATAAAAAGAGGCCAACAAGAATAGTGCCGAAGTAACAGATACCCAAAACCGAATACCATGTCAGAAAACATCATATAGTAACCATTTATCAGATTAGAGCAGCAAGAGGAAGTTACTTCTAAATCATAATCATTTAAGTGGTATTTGTCAACTTCACCACGGTAACTCTGCAACATCATTCTTCATTTGTGTAGTAAAATTCATGTCAAAAAGGAAAGGGGAGGCAGGGGACGTCAGTTAGTTCATTCCAATAAATTATCTCTCCAGTTCTTATAAACATGCCCATCAGCACAAAATCGAGAAATAATACCTAAGACTAGAAGAGACTTGGTTTAAGTTATGAAGCAAATTAAATGGAAAAATACAAGAAAATAGAACCAATGGGGTTGAAAAAGCCCCTCACTGAAAAATCTGTATTAAAAAAAATAAAATTAATAAAAATAAAAATAGAAACAAAACTCTACTAGTACAAACTAGCCTGAGTGGTTTGATGGACAGAGTGATTGGGTCAACTGTCACTGTATTTCCATAAATGGATTTTCTTCACTCATGTTAAAGTAGCACATGAATGTAAGCTCTATAAAGACAGGTAATATATTTTCATAGGACCCAAATAGTTACTGTATATCCTATAAATAAAAAATATTTTACTTTGATAACTGACTGAATATGTGGGGACTCCATGTAATCCAACCACATGGTTGTTTGCTGTACAGTCCTGTGCAAATATAAAAAAATGTTTTTTTGCTATAAGGCTTTGACCCTACAGTTTTCACAGCAACATAACTACCATCCAGCATGTACCATATTTTGCAAGCCTTCAAGTTCAACAATCCAAATTGTCGATTCATATTATGTCCAAATGCAGCATTCTTGAGGAGTATAGTAGGTCAATTAATCATCTAGAGACATACAAACATCTCCTGATTCATCCCACCGAGATGGATCATTCTGATCTTCTCCATCATCAACCAGCTCTTCATCAGCTTCTGCTACTTCATTCTCCTCATATTCTTCATCCCGAGGGAATTCTGTATCCTGTCCCTGATCTACACCTTCTTGCCCTCCTGGTTGGGATTTATCTGCACAGTCTACACAAACACCATAGCGTCGAGATCCATGTCTTATTCCAACACTGGCTGCTAACATGAAGATCTTCTTACACACCATACATTTGTATTTTTTATCCTTTTTATGCACCTAATTGAAAAGGAAAAAAATTCAACATAAGGATAGTATATAAATAATAGAATGCTACTCGAATTGAACCAAATATCTAGTTAAGTGGATCTACTAATGCTTTTCTGTATGAAATTCAGTTTGATACATAAATCACATTCGCTGTTTAAAGCAATTTATTTAACAACCAACCTTATTTAAATTTGCAATTAACTGTTAAAATTTCTTTAATTGTCACTGTCATAAATATAGTTTATCTCAAAGATCACCCGTATTTAAAGTAACTCACCAGGGAATGTCTTTTTACATGTTCTCTTCGAGTAAACAGCTTTCCACAAATATCACAGCTAAATGATCTCACTCCCGTATGAATGAGCAAGTGCCTTTTTAGTGTTCGTCTGTATTTGGCTACATAGCTACAATGAGGGCATTTCAACTTGTTCATGATTAGAGATGATTCACCTTTGAAAATTAAAAAAGAAAAAAGAAAACCAGATAGTACTTACTATACATTAAAAAAAAAACTTGCTATTAAAACTTTCTATCTTTTTGCCTGAGAACGGGGCTACTGAGATATCGGGCTGAGATCTAGAGCCACTACTAATTGATTTTCAAAATTCAGACTATTAAAACTTTATAATCGTTAAAAATTATTTGATAATTCTGTATTTATTTAGTTGAATAATACTTGCCATTTTCCCAAGTTTCTTGTTTTGGCCAAGATTCCGGCAATAATCCATACTTGAAATCATTTGAAGCACCTGGTATCAATCCATACTTGAAGTCATTTGAGGTACCTGGTATCAACCCATATTTGAAGTCACTTGAAGGGCCAGGCATCAAACCATACTTGAAATCATGTGAAGTACCTAACACATTAAAAAGTGATGTGAAGTAATAGTCGTAGATATCTCTCCTCTCATTATTAGTGTCAGAAAATAAAAAATATTATCTCATGAGCTTAAGCTAGTTAACTCTACATTTTAGTATAAAAGATGTCTTCATACTTTATTATCACAATTAAAACTCAAATTTATATTACTTTTAACCATATGAAAAACTCAATTAAAAAAACTTCATGAATATTATTTGTGGGAGGTCACAAAAAACTACTCTTATAAATGTTGGGTTTCAAACTTATGCAAAACAGAAACTCTTCATAGTTGCTACTCCTATCTATTCTGTCAGGTGAGATTTTATTACTTTGAAGCCCAGCTATCAAATGGGATATTCTTATTGTATCTAAGACAACCAAACAACCACATTATCTTGAGAATACATATAGAAAAATGGAATAAATCAGGCGTTTGGGGAAAAAGGATTGCTTGAGCCCAGGAGTTTGAGGTTGCAGTGACTTATAACTAACTGTACCCCTGGCTCTAGCCTAGACAATAGAACAAGACTTTTTTCTCTAAGAAAAAAAGTGGACTAAAGTTCTTACTAGATACTGTTGTTACAGACACATGAGAGTAAGAATAACTACTCTTCATGTTTATTGAAACTACTCTTTCTAACTCTATTGTTAAATAAAACTAAGTCCAGGAGATACAATCAAAATAGAATGGATGTGCTTAAGAATCTTCAGATTATGAAGAGTAGGAATTATCTCCTCTGGATTTAATTCCATCATGAATTTGCAAGCAATTCCCTGGACCAGGAACCTTTCTGGTAATAGGAATACGAGGTTGAACAATCAGATTATGAGCTCATCCTAGAAAAAATGCTTTACATGTCACTGCTGAATAACACTACCATAACCTTCCACACACTCACTCTCCTGGGGAAGCTGTGCACCAACTACAGTGCCTAGTCCACCCTTCAAAGCAATTCTGGAATGCTTTCTGGAATGGCCATCAGAGTGAGCACCATATGAGGTCTGACAATTGAGTTTGCAAATTCTTCCTAGAAAAAGTGCTACAAACTTCGTTGCTGAATATCACTGTGGTTACGAGATGGACAAGGAGAGTACTTTGAAGGTGACCCTACTTTCAGCATTGAGGTACACAGAACTTTTTCTCGGATGAGTTTTAGAACTTAATCCGTAGACCCTGTATATCCAGAATCCCCCACAGCTATTTATTGCCAACCTGATCCAATCATCAACTCTAGCTCTTGGACTGTTTTTGGTAGCTGCCTACTTGCCTCCTGGTTCCCACTGCTGCCTTCCTAGGTTTTCAGTATAGTAATAGCAGATCATTTTAAATATACTAAGTTAGGCTGGGTGTGGCTCACACCTGTAATCCTAGTACTCTGGAAGCCTGAGAAGGGAGGATTGCTTAAGCTCCTCAGTTGGAGACTAGCCTGACCAAGTGGGAGACCATGTTGTACTAAAAATAGAAAAATCAGCCAGGTGTTGTCATGGGTTCCTACAGTCCCACCTACTCAGGAGACTGAGGTAAGAGTCTCTTAAGCCCAAAAGTTTGAGGCTGCTGTGAGCTACAATGACGTCACAACACTCTACCCAGAGCGACAGAGACCCTGTCTCAAAAAACAAAAAACCACTAAGTCAGAGCAGGCCATCGCTCTACCCACACAGCTGTAAGGGCTACCCATCTCACTCACAGTGAAAAACAAAGACTTTCAATATCCTACAAAGCCTCACCTGGTAGAGCCCTTGGAAATCTGTATCGACTTTCTTTTTTTTTTTTTTTTTTTTTTTTGAGACAGAGCCTCAAGCTGTCCCCCTGGGTAGAGTGCCGTGGCATTACAGCTCACAGCAACCTCCAACTCCTGGGCTCAAGCGAGTCTCCTGCCTCCGCCTCCCAAGTAGCTGGGACCACAGGTGCCCGCCACAACGCCTGGCTATTTTTTGGTTGCAGCCGTCATTGTTGTTTGGTGGGTCCGGGCTGGGGATTCGAACCCGCCACCTTAGGTGTACGTGGCTGGTGCCTTAGCCGGTTGAGCTATAGGCACCGAGCCTGTATCGACTTTCATGATAAGCAGGCTCCCAATTTAAGGCATCCACGCTTTCCTCAGTAGGAATCACTCCTTTCAGGATATATGCATGTTTTACTTGTACAGCAAATAATGTATTTTACTCCCATGGACATTATGGTTTTTAATAAAAGAATGCTTACCAAAAATGTATTTCCTAAGAATACATTTTCCCAGATATGTTCATTAAACATATTCCTCCTCTTAAAAATTGAGAGCAGGCTCGGCGCCCATAGTTCAGTGGTTAGTGCACCGGCCACATACACGGAGGCAGGTGGGTTCGAACCCGGCCGGGACCAGCCAAAAGAAGAATGACAACTATAATAAAAAATAGCCAGGTATTGTGGTGGGTAGCTGTAGTCCCAGCTACTCAGGAGGCTGAGGTAAGAGGATCACGCCCCAGAGTTTAAAGTTGCTGTGAGCTGTGACACCACAGCACTCTACTGAGGGAGACATAGTGAGACTATCTCCTAAATAAAAAACATTTGAGAGCAAACGTAAGATTTCTCCTTGGGTGAAAAGTATCAATTACCCAATGCATTCAAGTATTTTAAAATTATACATTATTACTTTTAATGTGAACTGTTGTGTACTTTACAATACACCCATCTTTTGGTGTCAAGAAAGCCCTCTCAACACCCATAACTATATATAATTTAACTATAATATGTTATTGCTTAGGGAAAAGTTTTCAGAACACTCAAGTAAAACAACATTTGTATGTGTGCAGGATGGAGACTAGGATGGGGGGATGAATCTATTTTTAGTTTCACATTTCTAAATAAAGTTTTAGCTTTATGATTGATATTTCTTATCTAAATCAGTACAAAATAGAACTAAGCAACAGGAGAGCAATAACTGTGTCTTAATCACCTTAGAATTTCTTTTATTTTTTTCTCTGAAGACGTCTTTGTGCCACCCAGGCTAGGGTGCACTGGCACCATCACAGCTCACTGCAACCTCATTCTTGGCCTCAAGTCATCTTCCTGCCTCAGTCTCCTGGTACATGCCACCATGCCTTGCTAGTTTTTCTATTTTTTGTAAATACAGTATCTTGCTTAGGGGCTAGCATCAGTGCATACTTTCCCAAGGGCAGTACTATCGAAGGTGAGTGTAGTGATATTCAGCAAAAAGGTATGTGTCACTTTTTCTCAGATGAGTTTGAGTACTTAATTGTCAGCCCTTATATGTGCACAAATTTAAAATCTTACATACAAATTCACACTGCCTTATTAAGCCCATTTTTGGGGCCAAATTTCTAAATGAAGAAAGTGCAATAAAATTCTCTTGCACTATTAGCAATTTTCCATATAAGGAAAATAATCTTCAAAATTCAACACATCTGACTTGTAAATTATTAATTTCAAAACTTTATTAAATTATTTTCAACATTCAGGGGAAACCACCTTAAGGCAGCTTCTTCAGAACGGCAGCTTATTGTGCTCAGTGTACACTATATATTCAGAAACCCTGGATACTTTGTGCAAAGAGTACCTCTAGTAGTTCCCCACTCCACTTTATCAACTTTGATAAATATTCCAAAGCTACAATGAAGGAACATCCACATCCTTTTATCTCAAATGTCAGTTTTGCCATGTTTTCCTTTTGTATACGCATATACATTTTTATCCAATATTTGAAAATCTGCATACTCATCACTATAAGTACCTTCACAGTACCTACCTTTCTTCTATTTTTCTTTTTCTTTCTTTTTTTTTTTTTTTTTTGAGAGAAGAGTCTCACTTTGTCAGTCTTGGTAGACTGCCATGGCATCATACCTCACAGCAACCTCAAACTCTTGGGCTAACGTGATCCTCCTGCCTCAGTCTCTCAAGTAGCTGGACTACAGGCATCCACTACATCCATGGCTATTTTTACAGATAGGCTCTCACTCTTGCTCAGGCTGTCTATAATTCCTGAGCTTAGGTGATACATCTGCCTTGGACTCCCAAAGTGCTAGCTAGGATTATAGGCATGAGCCACCCTGCCTGTCCTAGTATCTTTCTTCTAGATCCTACATAACACAGCACATCCAGGAAACTTAAAATTGGGTGGATAACATACTATTCAAATTTCTAGCCATTCCCAAAATGCTCCCTGTAATCACTTTTGATCTAATTAAGATCTTTGCTACATTTTAGTTTATTTCCTAGGTCTCCTTTTAATCTAATTGCTCTCCATTTGTCTTTTATGACATAAACATTTTAGAGTTTGGACCACTGTTGCATAACTGGATTTATGTAGATCTCATTTTTTTCCCCGTGATTAGAATGAGGCTAATTATTTTCTCAAGGATACTACAGAGGTAACGTGTTTTGGCTAGTGCATCATGTGGGCTAGCACTTAATTTCACTTTGTTACACTATTAATGACACTAAGTTTAATCACTTGGTTATATGAAAATGTGTTCTTCAGATCTCTCTAATTATAAAAATGCCATTTCCTCTTGTAATTGGAAATAATTTGTGGGATGATACTGAGACCATGTTTAATATGCTATTCCTTTCACCAATCATAGTGGGACAAGCCCACTAATACTGGTTTGACATCTACTGATGATCTTTCCTGTGGGGCCTAAAAACGAGGCATTTTTTCCAATTCTGTCATCGTTCTACTAGCTTGGCATTCTTCTGTAAAGAAATCTTTCTCCCTTTTACTCTATTTTCCTTATAACACACTCAGGGGGGTTCTTTGTCTATATGCATCAAGCTTTCCCCCAAATACAGTTAATATTATATAGAAATCAATAAAATGTTGTCCTTTTTTTGCAGTTTTCAGGCGGGGCTGGTTTTGAACCCACCACCTTCAGTATATAGGGCTAGCGCCCTATTCTTTGAGCCACAGGTGCAACCCCAATAAAATGTTTTCTACAGTGATTAACCATGCCATTATTTGTAAAGCTATTTAAAATACGTTTGTCTACCATTCTGATAATTACCATTCCCATTCCTTATCCATTTACCAGCAGGAAGACATAAATACTATTAAGTTAATTACCGTTTGATATTTGAGAGTTTTATAACCCTAAATAAATGACTCCTTCAAACATACAAAATCACGAACATCTATCAATTCACATTTACCAAATTTCAAAGGTCATCATAAATATAGCTACCAAGATTCAAAGTATTTACAGACAACACTGTCCCCTAAAGAACAGAAACTACAGTAGGCTATAGTAAACATGTAACACATCCTAATCATCAAATCCTCTTAAATGTATTTTTGCTAAAATCCTACTGTACCTACCAGCATCACCTCCATCTTGATTAGAACCAGCTTCAGCCATTAAATTTGGATTCACATTCCTATCTCCATCAGGCCCTGAGAGTAGAGCACCATCCAAATCTGAAAAGGAGACAGAATAATTTATTTACAAACCACATGATAGCCACCAACATAAACATTACTCTTGGTTCGGCGCCTGTAGCTTAAGCGGCTAAGGCACCAGCCACATACACCTAAGGTGGCGGGTTCAAATCCAGCCAAGGCCCACCAAACGACAGCTGCAACCAAAAAAAAAATAGCCGGGCATTGTGGCGGGTGCCTGTGGTCCCAGCTACTTGGGAGGCTGAGGCAGGAGACTCGCTTGAGCCCAGGAGTTGGGAGGCTGCTGTGAGTTGGGATGCCACGGCACTCTACCCAGGGGGACAGCTTGAGGCTCTGTCTCAAAAAAAAAAAAAAAGAAAAAAAAATTACTCTTCTTGGAATTGCTTCTTACACGGATTAAGTAAAAAGGCATATCTGTACAAAATGGAGTAACTAAAAAGGCGTGTTTGTAAAAACAGCATTATCTATGTACTCAACACTATAAGGCACAAGACATATTTTTGTGTGTGTGTGTTGCAGTTTTTGGCTGGGGCCAGGTTTGAACCCACCACCTCTGGTACATGGGGCTGTTGCCCTACTCCTTGAGCCACAGGATAAAGGAGTACAAAGTACTGGTTAGGAATGGTCTGTATGGCCAGGGTGACTTGAATGCCATTCTTAGTTTCCTGATTTATATCCATCTATATTATAGATGTGACACAGTAATCTAATTGAATAGTATTAAAAGTGTTACAATGATGGTGCCTGACATAAGAACAATACTTGCTACTACTAGCACTAACTCGTAAGTACAAGATGTATAAAACAGATTTTTTTTTTCTTTTTTGAGACAGAATCTCACTATGTTGCTCTCGGTGGAGAGCCGTGGCATCACAGCTCACAGCAACCTCAAACTCTTGGGCTTAAGTGATCCCCTTGCCTCACCCTCCCAAGTACCTGGGAGTACCAGGGCCCACCAGAACACCTGGCTATATTTTTGTTATAGTTGTCACTGGTGTTTTAGCAGGTCTGGGTTGGGTTTGAACCTACCAGCCCCAGTATATGTGGCTGGTGCCCTAACCACTGAGCTATGGGCACCGAGCCAGACTGCTTTTGTATTGGTTGAGAAGTGGAGAAGAACAATTAAAGCTAGAGTAGAGAAAGACCTTAGAAAAGTGGCAACTGTATTCACACCTCTATTCATTCCCTGTAATGTTCCCACAGAGATCTTCCTAAAACTTTACTTAAAATGTTCAATACCTTTATTGAATACCTTAAACTTTATTAAAAATGTTCAATGCTTTTAGTATAAAGCTTAGACTCTAGAAGAGTTCTACTATTTAGGTTCCTGCTTAGGACTTATTCTGCTTAGCATAATCCCACTGGTACCATCTGAACCCTCGTGTACTCTCTCAAATGACTTTAGTCTCTGAAGACTTTTTTTTTTTTTTTTTTTTTTTTTTTTTTT